ATGAAATATCATTCAGGTAAAACGATTACAGAAATCGCTAAAATTTATCTACAAAATTGAGAGTGCGAAAACAAGCAGGCCATTTTCCAACTGAAGTGAATTATATAAATGTGATAACCTAACTACAGTAGCTTTCATGAGTAAAAGGCCTAAAGAGCCTTAGCGGTCACTTTAGTTCTATAACAACTGTGTGTTTGTAGTTGTGAAAAGTCATGATTGAAATTATTTCGTTAACAAAGTAAGATAGCTTCCGATACACAGACGTGTAATGCAAAATATAAAATTTCATTTACTTCCAATGCAACCAAAATAAATAATGTTCAAAAGAACCATTCTCCAATATAAACTTGAGTAAATTTTGGAGAAGAGTGTTTGATTCTACCTTATCTAGGTTATAAGAAGAAGATTTTAGGAATCAATATGAACCATATGTGCATAAATCAAATTGTTATATCATACTTAAAGTGCTGAACAGTTATATAAAATGAATCAAATAGTATTCACGCATATCATTTTCTGTATACACTGTAGTAAACGTAATCCCTCTGCCAAGGCAAATGTGAGGAGACCCTACGGACATTTTCTGTATACACTGTAGTAAACGTTATCCCTCTGCCAAGGCAAATGTGAGGAGACCCTACGGACATGAAATTCATATTTTTCCTCAAAGTTTCTTCAGATTTGTCCATTTATGAAGAGAATATTTCAATCTACCATATCTATGTCTTGAGAAGATTTTTTAAAATTGTACCAGTTTGACCCCTTCTTGTAACTTCTATAAGCCCCTCTGCTCAATCTGGACCAACTTGTGAATATCTGTACACTGGACCAACATGTGAATATCTGTACACACTGTCACACAATATATTTCCAATAGAAATTAAACTAATTACACATTATGGAAAAAAAACATTCTAACATTCATTCTTTGTGCTATGTCGATCTTGTGTTTCTCTGAATTATATAACTTACAATGAGTAATTTATATAATATATATGAGATATTTTATGAGATAAGTTGACTTGCCCTGAATTTTGTTCAAAAACGTCATGTCTAACTTCAGTCTACACAATCGAATGGTGTTGCGCGTGCGACAGTACCAAGCAGACAGAATTGACAGGAAAGCACAGAGCCATAGAGATACAAATGCTGTAAACTTTCACGATGAATTTGTTTATGTTTTTTTGGTTTTCAATGGTACATGTAGTAGTACTAGTTTGACTTGTTGACGCTCCACTCATTATAATTATTCATCTTTCAGCATCCTCTCAAAAGAAGCACAACTGAAGTATGACAATGTTGGTAGAACCTTACCCAGTAGTTGTAAAAAACATAAAAAAAATATTGACCTGTAAGATCTAGTAATATTTTAGTGTTCTATCATATATTGTTAAAGTCATAATTTTGCTACTTGTGTGTTGTCATGAATTTGGAAATATGTTGTTTTCTCTTTTAGTACTACTCTTGCTATATTTTTTTTTTTTTTCGGATTCTGAACAAAAGATTCTTCAGGTGTGCAAACTTAATACTTCAAAATGCTTCATCTTCAGTATGCATTAACAGATTTCAGCCAAATTTGGCATGGTACATCAGTGAAAGAAGGCAATCATGATTTGAATGAAGTTGATTGGAACCCTCAGGTCCTGGGGCGGGGCTCATTAACTTTGGGCTACTACTTTTTAATGGTTAAAAGGATTTCAGCTATATTTGTTCAGAAAAAAATACTTGGTAGTGCAATCATAATGTATTGCGGCTTCCAGGGGGAAGGCACATTAAAGATAATAAGGTATTATCCTCCTCCCACATGCCCGAACACATTGGGAAAGGACAGTCTTTTCTAATGATAGATTGCTGGATTGTTAACTTTTTTATTCCTTTTTTTCCATTTGATACACTATATCTGTGTATTTTAATCAGATAACCGTTAAGGACCATGGGCCTTTATTTTATCAGAATCTTCATTACGATCTCCACAGTTTATTTCAGATTCTTAACCACAGATTCGTCATGCAGATCACTAATATCATTTCATATTCTGAAAACGGATCTTCATTTTTTATTCTTCGCCGCAGATTCTTCGTGTAGTCTTGATTTAACCTTATTTCAGATTCTGTACCATGGATCCCTCAGGTAGATTTTATTTCAGATTCTGTACCATGGATCCCTCAGGTAGATTTTATTTCAGATTCTGTACCATGGATCCCTCAGGTAGATTTTATTTCAGATTCTGTACCATGGATCCCTCAGGTAGATTTTATTTCAGATTCTGTACCATGGATCCCTCAGGTAGATTTTATTTCAGATTCTGTACCATGGATTCCTCAGGTAGATTTTATTTCAGATTCTGTACCATGGATCCCTCAGGTAGATTTTATTTCAGATTCTGTACCATGGATCCCTCAGGTAGATTTTATTTCAGATTCTGTACCATGGATCCCTCAGGTAGATTTTATTTCAGATTCTGTACCATGGATCCCTCAGGTAGATTTTATTTCAGATTCTGTACCATGGATTCCTCAGGTAGATTTTATTTCAGATTCTGTACCATGGATCCCTCAGGTAGATTTTATTTCAGATTCTGTACCATGGATCCCTCAGGTAGATTTTATTTCAGATTCTGTACCATGGATTCCTCAGGTAGATTTTATTTCAGATTCTGTACCATGGATCCCTCAGGTAGATTTTATTTCAGATTCTGTACCATGGATCCCTCAGGTAGATTTTATTTCAGATTCTGTACCATGGATCCCTCAGGTAGATTTTATTTCAGATTCTTTGCCATAAATTCTGCAATGTAAACTCCAGTTTTCAATACCATTGATCCCAGAAATCTTAAAGTGGGACAATATTATTTCTCATTGAAAATAAACAAAAGTAACACAAAAGTATTATTTTCCTATGCCAACTAATAAAGTATACCCCTCCCCTACAGAGGAATCCCTATCCTTCAGTTGGAAGTATGTAATTTGCAATACTAGTTAGTCATTTATGATGGAACCTTTCTACAAAATTTTATTGAAAGAAAAATGCATTGTTTGTAGGTCACAATGACCTACAGCAGTTGTGTTGTGTCTGTCGTTGCGCGCGATTCGCCGTGCGTAAACTTTCCATTCAAACGACTTCTCAAGAACCGAAAGGACCCAGGATGCTGATAATGGTTTGGTTGTATGCTAAAATGAGAGGTTTTCAAGTTTGTCCAATAAATGACCTTGACCTACTTCCAAGGTCACAAGTTAAAAAAACCTTTAAAAAACTTCCTCTTAATAACCAACGCCCAAGCGGTCATGACGGTCACGGTCAAGGTAATACGGTAAGCAGCCTTCAAGTGACACGAAAAAAATTGAAACATTGATGATAATAAGACGTAAATGATATGATTCAAGCCCTAGGAGGTCAGCCAGTGTCAATACAGTATATGTATACCATCAAAACCGTCTTCACAACTAACAATTCTTAACAAGTTAGTTCCAATGGGAAATACCCAACTTTATGCTCAAAAACGTACTTTTTAAAATAAACTATAGTAAAGTTTACCCTCTTCCCTGCCAGAAAAGTGAGATTGGGGTCATGGAATTCACAATTTTGGTAAAGTACCTTAAGACATTTTCATCCATAAAGAGCGTTTGTTTTTACCACAGCAGGGTCTTGAGAAGAAGATTTTTTAAATCTGAGTCAATTGGACCCCTTTTGGACCCACCCTCCAGCCTATTGGGGTCAGACAGTAACAATATGTGCATACCATCAAGCCCTGATCATATACTAGTAATTTTAAGAAAGCTCAAAAATGTACTTTTCCTACTTAACTACACGTATTGTAAAATTTACCCCCCTTACCAGGGGGAAATGTGACACCCTGGGGTCAGGAATTTCATAATTTTGGTAAAGTACCTTAAGACCATGCCATCCATGAAGAGCATTTGTTTCTACAATATCTGGGTGCTGAGAAGATTTTTGAAATTTGAGTCAATCTGACCCTTTTGGTCTCCATCCCAAACACACAATACCTGGGGAAATGGCATATAATTCACTTCTTTGGTTCGTCTTTGGTCAGGTGAAGTTTCTACAAAATTTCATTTAAAAGGTTTCAGGTGCTTTTGAGAAGTTGTTGAAAATGTTAAATTCACAAATGAGAGCACACGATGCCAGACAAAAGGTGATTACAGTAGGTCACCATGATACTGTGTAAGGTGACCTAAAAAACAACTGTTATTGATAATGATGCGGGGCCCATGGAACCTCTACAATACATGTCTTTATAGTCAGATAACCATTAAGACACATGGGTCCCTGGTACAAAAATTTTTCAGCAATATTAATACAACATTGGTCAAAATGTGTTATAATCCCAGAACTCTTGGTACACAGCCTCAGTATTTGCAAGTTTCGCTAAAAAATCAAAGAGAGAATTTGCTCTATCTATATAGATATGGTAAAAATTAACTTGTATGAGAAAAACTCCAGACTATATTGTGTGTTAGTAATGATATAACAGTTGTTAAAATTCATTCATTGCAAACGTGCCTTCATTCCGACATGGAATTTACGACTGTTGATGAACCCAAATCAGAAATGATTTTAGACATTTCCATCAAAGGTCGTATTTGATATTAACATGTGTTCAGCATATGTGTATATCACTCTTTACCTGTAAACACACCTAATACACCTCTACGTTTTTTTCTGTTTATGCTCAGTAAGCAGGTTGGTCATTTATTTCCAAATCTCCACCAAGTGTTAATGATTACCAATTATACATGTTTTAATGTTATTTTTGCATAATTATCAAGTTGAAGTTTTCTCCGAAACTTTCTAAATCACATCAAATTTGCTGGATTATATGTCTTTTGGGCTTTAAATGTCATGTTCTTTGTATTTTTTGTCTTAAAATGTAAAACACCTTTGGGCATCTAGCGTACTTGTTTGATCCTGATCAAAGGGAGGTAACCTGGAGAGTCAAGTGTTTTGGTGTGAAATACCAATAACATAATACAAAACATAAATATTTATCTACATAGTTTATTACAACAAATGTCATATCAATCAACAGCAGTATCTTCAAGGTCAAGGTCATTATCGTCCAGGTCAAGGTCATCCATATCTTGAAACAAGGATTCATCTACTTCAACAGTATCTTCCTCTGTAATCACAAAAACAATGATGAAATCATTCCAACATCCACAAAATATAAGAAAATTTTACAGATATCCATTTTTTTGGCCTTATAACTGTATGGCTTAATACTGCACTTGCAGATGCTCTTTGTGGTTTGATAAGAGTAGCCTCCCCTTGATCAGACCTGACACAAAACTGTAACAGATATATGTATGTATATGACACTACTATATGAATGCAGATATGCTTAAATAAGACATAGTGTGATGTTAAATCTCACTTACCCGGTACATATCATATCTGAAGTGAACCTACCTTTCAGTTCATTGACAGTAATGGATATGAAGGACTTTGGTTAATAAATGAACTTTCTTAGACTGAAATGGTATTTTGTTGCAGTATTTTTTTCAAAGCATTGTGAACATGTTTCAAACATGCACCTAAATACCTGTCTATAAAGGCTACTTGTTTTGGCTTCAATGTAATATATTTCATAGTAATTGAACCTCTATATAAAAGCCCACCAGTCTTTTGTCCTTGAGTGGTCCATTTACACAGGTTTTACTGTATTTGAATTCCATGAATTTTAACTAACACCATAACCATTAAATGACTGGCCTGGCAGCTGGGACGTTATTTACATAGGGTTTCTCTTGATAAACTTTTTATCTAAGTTTCACAGGGTACCTAAGAAGTCAGGTGTAGGTAGAAATAGACTCCTACTTTAGGTACTTCACAATCTGAAGAAAATTAAACCTAACATACACCCTGAATATTGCATGTGTCAGTAGCTTGGTTGCTATATTTGTTTACATACCAGTCTATGGATCTTGTTTCAATTTTCATTTTGAAAATCAAATAAACAAACAATCTAACAGAATGCATATAATTTCCTTTCTTTTTTTCCCCTTTTATTCACTTCTTAATTAATTTGTATTCTTTAGCACCCTTAAATTCATATCCTCTGCTCACCTTACAAAAATACAATTTCATACCATGTAATCAACCCTTTAGACATCCAAAAGCTGACCAACACCACAATTTTCCAAATAAGATTATAGGGTGAATTAAAAACCTCAATGTTGAAGTTGAGGAAAAGCAGGAAAAATTGTCATGATCTGTTCTTTCTGAGTTTAATTTTTTTTATATATATATGTGTATATATATATATATATCCTCTTTCCCCCCCCCCCCCCCCCCCCACCCCCAGTAACAATGGATAAAACTTTCAGACAAAGTTGATGAATTCAAAAGTTCATAATACTGAATCAATGGATGTGATAATATTTGTACTGAAACTAAAGAATATATGTAAGTACCTGATTGAAGGAATTTAACATCAGAGTCATTCATTGAATCGTCCGTGAAGAACAGCTCTTTTCCTGAAAACAGATACATCCAAACATAATTTCATATACCTACATATTCAGTAATGAACACTTGTAAGAGTTAAATATAAAAGGAATCATCATGTAGTAAATTTATAGACCACAAGTCCACAAACATCCTGTAAATTATGCTGGATGATTTTTAGCTACCAAATTTCATTAGTAAGTGGTTTTAGAAGGGAGAGGGAAAAGGTGGCACAGTCCATGTGAAATATAAGCTGGAATACTTTAGTGTGACTCTACATTAAGTTTCCTCCCTTTATCTGATCAGAATTGTTACATGAAAAATAACATATCTGACATGTCATATACATGATTCACAGAGACTTTTAGTGTGATAATACATACCAAATCAAAACTAGTCAATAGTTTTACATAAATATAGATTTCAGTCTATTTTGGATTTCAAATGATAATTAAGAAGTCATAGGAACCGAGATTTCTCTCCATCTACTGAAACATTTTAATTCCTATTGTCAAAGTGTTTCACAATGCAGGCCTTTACATTGATAAATAAAATAGAGTTGTTCACATCATGTGTAACTGAAGGAAGAGCTGGTTTTATGAGATCACATTAAATGTAGAAGATGAGATAAAGTGATGATATCACGTGTACAATACAACATCAGCTAATGGTAGGGATATGTCACTAAACAATCTATACTTGATATGTACCGATGCAACAATTAACTGAGACCATATGAAATTCAACAATCAAAGCATGTTTCTTGAATTTTGCAAAAACAGATTACATGTTAAAGCTTTACTCACATCATCAAGAAACTAACCTGTAAGCCCCTTTGGCCCTGTTACACTTTGGTTTTTCAATCTTTTCTGTTCACTCATTTCTGCATCAAATTTGGCTTTCCAGGCTAAAAAGGTTTCTATGGTAACTCGTGTCCCTTCAAACTTTTTCTGTATGGAGAAAAAAAAGGATTCTACTCTTACAGGGTTTCTATAGTAACTTATATACCTTTAGACTTTTTCTGTGCAAGTACAAAAATAATTCTGTTTCCACAAATTTTCTATGGTAACTCATGTCTTCTTCAAATTAATTTGCATAGAATCATGAAAACAAATGATTCAACTATCGAAGGCCTTGTACAGAACCTTGTTTATCTTTAAACTTTTTTTGGAAACTGAAAGAAAACAAGTGATTCTGCACCCACAAGTTCATTAAGGATAGTAAGTTATACCACAATCTTAATTCCAGCAGTAAGACCACCCACTGACTTTGTTCTGAGCAGAATGTTTCTGTCCTCTGTTTAATTGCAGCATCAATATGAAATTCTTGACATTTACAACAACATGAATGCCAGTCGTCTATACCAACATATTCCATATGACAGTCATTAATCATTTGTTGTATTTTTGCAAGCACCTTTATTTCATTCACAGAATGTTCCTCAGAATTTCTTCAGAACAAACTCAAATCACATCTTTACATTTAAAAAAGTTCAAAAGCTTCACTCAAATTTGATTGTGATGTATTGATCCTGCCATTGAAAAAGATATGAATAAGCTGAATATTAGATAAGAGCATAACTTCCAGTGAAGTTTCATTTATTTAATTGTTGTACTTTTTATAGAGACACTTAATACTTCAAACTAATGCCAGTACTTTTTTTCTAATTAGAGTAAAATGAAAGTTTCTCTTTACCTTCAAATTTAAAAACAATCCATATATATAATGTACATGAAATTGTCTTTTGCACATAATGCTTTCGCAACAATTTTTATGCAAATTGATTTAGAAAAAATATGTAAACAATGAACAATCAATACTATAAGAAACACCATGCTATTAATTGTCAGTTTATATTATATTCAAACCTAACATAACAGTGACCATACTCGTGTATAAAAATAAACAACTTTCAAACCAACCATTTCCATTTCTTCCTGTATCCTTTTTTTATTTTCTTCATCTTCTATTCTTCTCTTCTTTGTTTCCTCAACGATCTCTGTAAGTTTTTCTTGTATGGCTGAGACTATGGTAAATATCATGACCATGCCGAGAGATTCTTCAATCTGTCAAAAAGATCAATCTAATGACTACAGTGATCTTTTGCCAAAATCAAAAATAATTTTCCTTCATGATATTACTTACCGCTATGACATAACAGAATATCAATAATTGAGATGTTGCATAATTCAAAGATTTCAATTCTATATTTAAGAAATATATAACCATTTCTTTTCTTCTTTTTTTATAATTCTTTACAAAATCTTTTTCCTTACCACCTAAAAACAAAGACACTATGATGTAGTATTTCACCAATCGATGGGTGAAATGAGATTAAAAAACCAAAGTTAGAGGCATGATCTTAAAACAGTGTAACATCCAAATTTATGTTCATGAAAGACATGTGATTGAAAGTCCAGACTGTGACATCACACTTAGTACTGTATATGTACTCCATCCTAAGGAAGTCTTTATTTGTCGACTACAGTGTGTTACTAGCATATACCCATCATACTGATGATTAAGTATTACAAGTCAACTAGAGTATTTCCATAAATATTTTACATAAATATCATAATATTGTTGCCGAATTGATGTATTTTAATTCAAACATTATAAAACATTTTATTTCAAGAGCTTTATTTTTGGGGCGAGGGATTTAAAGGTAAGCTAAAAGCTTATTTCAAATATCATTTTAAGCGAATATATAATGGATTTTCAAGTATTGTAATATTGTAATATATACAGATTTACTGAAGGAAGTCGAGATGTAGATATATCAATGAATGGTCCTCATCAAACTATAGATGTATAGATTATATGTGTACACTTACTTCTATCCCCTTAATCTCTAAATCTTACACATGACATATATCCACTTTGTTATATGTACAAATGTATAGATATGATTGTATGTGTTATCTCAAATTCTCATTAGTGTTACAATAAACACCACTTCTTCTTCATAGCTAAATGTATAAAGGGCAAAAAGTAACAGCTTCGATAGCAAATATTGATGCTGAAATTTTACAAGATCTGTAAATCTTAAATTGATAACTAGCAGGCTTTTCCATGGAGATCAGTTGGAGGGTGGGGACCTTTTTCCTATATATATCCTACCCATCCTCATCACAAGCATTTTTAACAGATTTATGCCCCTAATGAACTAAATACATGTATAGATATCACTTTTTAACTTACATTTTCTGTTATCAACTCATTAAGCACTTCAATCTGATCCTCCTCCAAGTTTTCATACTCTGTGATTTCAAATACTGGAGGCTCCTCTGGGTATTTTTCAACATAGGAAAATTGTAGTGTGCAAAGGGCTATAAAATAAGAATATCCAATTATGATCGGCAAAATGGATCAGCAATCAAAACATGTAGTGAAGAGGACATCACGAACAAGCATGTTCAGAAAATAAAAATGATCTGGAAATTATTAACATACTATGCAATTACATTAAGAATACAAATATATTTCCAGAACCAATGTACATGTGTATTGTAACTAACAGGGTAATTGAGTGGTGCAGTAGTAAATATTAATCAACATTTAATCTGTGTTGTGTGTTCAGTCTTTGTTTCATTAGTATGTAAGTGTATTTTACAGCACATGATTCGTATCATTCAGCTGTTACACAGAAATTTCATTGTATCGCAATCCTTGTTATATCACCAGAATTAATACAGATAGTAGGTGCCAGTTAAATGAGGGAGGGGTGAGGGCATGGTTCATAGATACACAACTAAATATAAATGTTGATTTAAATAAAAATTAAACTAAGAGTATTGGTACGACATCAATGCCTCTGTATCCCTTTGACATATTGATATGTATCACTGGACTTACAAAGATTCAAACACACAGCAGAATGGGATGTGATGGCAAAATTGTGACGTTTAAACCTAAAAGTTGATTGAAGTCACACACTAAATATGAAGTCATTATCTCCAAATCTAAGGGAAGAAAAGTCTAGAAAACTACCTTTTTTGCACAATAATCAAGGTTCAAAGACAATAGGATTTTTTCACCAGAAAACAAACTCTCTCTTTAACCCAATACTTTGAAGACACATACATATTCAATATCATTATCTCCAAATACAACAAAAAGTTTTAGAAAACTGTTTTGGGGTATACAGACAGGCAACAATATGTTATCTATTACATTTTTCTCACCTTTCATTGATGTTCTGTCTACTCTATATGTGTACTCTATTATCATTACATCACTGGATAATCTGCTTAATATCAACATCTAACGAGGCTTCAAATTCATATTAAAGTAAGAAATTCAACACATAAAACACTGTAATGATTTATTGCCAGTTGACCAGGATCATCACACTATAGAGTTTGGTGAGAGCTTCTTACCATTTTAAGTGCTTTCTCTATCAGAGTTACTGTTACTTAGGCCCGTAATACACTCTAGCTAGGATCATTGATATTTTCACTGCTGTGGTATTCAGATTACTCAGTGAAAAATATCATTTATATTTCACCATAAAACCTTATATTTCACTGAGAGAATTGTAATATACATGTACATTCAACAGTTTTGGGAAACACATTTGATAATAGAGATCAGAGAATATCTGAGTATAACCCCGACAACCTTAAGCTTCCCTGCCTTGGATTTTAGTAGGCATAAATATACTGGATGTATGTAGGACTTTCAACTTTGTAAGTTATCAAAATTAGAGAAATAAATACCTGCTGGTTCCTTTGTCTCGTCACTGTTGTAGGGATCGTCTACTTCTTGGGACTTTATATCCAGAGTAAACACATGGTAAGGATCTGTTGACAGTACTGCAATAGTAAAAATAATAAACAAAATACAAATGTAATCATTTTAAAGTACGAAATGGTTTGTATACTGAGAGTTTTCAATCTGAGCTGCAATGTTTGACAGGATAATGCAAAAGACAGAAATAGTCTGTAAATGATCATTCTACCATTGCATTCAAACTGCAATGCATACATTTTTGAAGCTGAGTTATTGGAATTCAGTGTCTGATTTTGCCAACTGATGACTGTTATGTCTGACTAACAGAAATTTGAAAACTTCACAATGTTTGATGAAATCTGGCGAAAGTTTTACAGCATGATATTTAATAGTGGATTAAATATCAAAGTAAAGAAAAATGATGTCTCTGTCAATTAAGACCACTACCAAGGATATATCTTGAAAATTTTGGTGAAACCACAAGATTCTCGAAATTGGGTCATTTTACTAAGGCGATGATGCTGGTCAATTGACAGATGATACTAGGCATATGATGAAAATGAAATGTTGTATTAGTCATGTACTGGAGCACCAGCAAATCTGGCTGTTTAAGCAGATTCTGCTATAAAGCCAAATCTGACAATACCTATGTAGAGCAAATGTACAACAGGGAGCCTAGCAGCCTTGACGGTAACCTGAGATAAGCAATATTAATTATAAAGGTTAAAGGGTAAGTAGCTTTCAAGTGTCAAGAAAAAGAAATTGTGACATTGATGATAGTAAGCCAGTGTCAATACATGCATACTATCAATACTAATAATTTTTTAAAACTAAAAATAATCATTACCAATGGGAAATAAACAACATTATGCTCAAAAATGGAATTTTTCTATAAAAAAATTACAGTAAAGTTAACCTGATCCTCTCCAGGAAGAAATATGAGACCCATTTTGGTAATTAAACAAATTATGCTCAAAAATCTATTTTTCCTATATAAACTATAGAAAACTTTACCCCCTCCCCACTGGGAAATTTTAGACCCAGGAGCTATGAAATTCACCATTCTGCCATATATAGATGTTAAAAAGAAAAATTTTGAAAGCCGAGTCAATTTTACCCAGAAGGTTTCTGCAAAATTTCATTAAAATCGGTTCAAGGTTTATTGCGAACTTAAAAATGTTAAATTGTTTATGGACAGACATCGCATAATGTCATGGGTGATCACAATAGGTCACCATGTAAGACTTTATCTCAGGTAACCTAAAAAAGTAAACATCCATGGTCAGGTGAGGTCCAGTCACATTTCTTTCATACAGATAAAAAAAATGGATGATGGATTATGTAAGTCAGTAAAATTAATGTTTTTTGCATATTTGGTCAATTTCAGGAGATTTTATGGAATTTCATTGTTACATATTTTCAGTATCCATGTACACTCGCTAATAGTGTCTGTTTAGTAACAAGCACTATTGCACATCATTCACACCTGGTATTGTCTGTCCATTTTTTCGATGTGCATACCATAATCGCGGCCAGGTATGGCTCAGTTGTTTACATCGGCCCTATATACGTGTAGTTAGATATGATTATAGACCTAAAGCTGCCTATAGCGCCAGATCTGTCGGTGCTCCAGTATCTGTTATTTGGATTCGCCAAAATGATGCACGTATCATACATTTGTAATATTACAATCTACATATTTTAAGTTTTGCAATTCATGTTCCACAAAAAAGCGGACGGAATAAGTCACCTCCGATATTCCCGGGTCAGGTACACAACACCAATAATTGTTGAAACCAAATTGAAAGTAAATTACAATATCAAGTGTTACTCAACTTCAGTAGTAAGAGCTGGTGAGTGTTATCCGTGGTAAAATATTAAATGCATTGCTATGAGCAGATACATTTGGTTGTTTTATTATTTCAGAGATAATACCTCTAATTTCGTCTGGATATATAGATTCTAATGCTTCTATTTCGTTTTCCTGTTCTTCTCTAAAGTCTGTCATCTTCTCGTGTTTCTTGCATGCCTCTGTCAAAAGTCCGCGTAACTTAAACACTCGATTTCTCCGTGTCAATTTTCTTTGAATTTAAACACTCAATTGATCAAGATGCAAGGAAGGAGCCAACAATTTCCGTTACATTTCTTTTGATTAGTCACTTCCAGTTTACTATCCAATCAAAATTGTTGTAACAAACACAGTCGGTACTTGAGGAGGTGTGACTGACAATTTTCATCTGCTTACAAAATAATGAAAGAAAGTAGGACAGTCTGATAGCAATTCCCATCAAGCATGTCAAGACAAAGTACACGTGGAGGGGATCCTCGAAAAGTGGTTTGTAGACACATTAGTCGATGTCGATCTCGGCGCCAAAATTTTGCTGGATAAATATTTCTTTGGAACTAAATTGTGCGTGTTCAGCAACAGCAACTCCACGATCTACATGCACAAATGAAACAATCAGTGTGCTAGCCAAAAAAAAAAAAAAAAAACTAGAAACTCAATTACTGTGGTTACAACGCATCACATATTTTTTACACTCAAACACCCAAATAAATGCATCTTGAGTCTTCGTTCATGGGACCATATATAGTTACCGTCTGATATACATGTATACACATACTCAAATTTTCAAGGTTTATTATCACCTTAAATCTCTTAAAGAATATTCTGTTTAAGACCCATACATGCAGCTCACGAAGATGATATATGTACATATGTTCTTACCATGTATTAGTTTCAATCTTTCATATTCAGTGTTTTAACCCAGCTTAATACTGAATTTAACTGAAAGAGGATATTGTCATATTTTATCCAATGACTGCTAAAACCACTGTCAGGGCTCTCGATCTGCCAGATTTGGGGCCGATTGTCAATTTAGACAACAAGTTTTCCCAATTCTAAGGAAAACACCATTATTTTTCCCAATTCAAAGGGCCCCGGGCCCCAGTCCCAAAATGGGATGTGAGAGCCCTGACTGTTCAATTAATCTGTAAGACAGTAGTTGTTTCGTTGGAGATAAATACTTTGCATTTCTTTTGTAGAATGGTGAACTGTTTACTTTGACATATGGTGCCTTGGTCTCACAACTGTTAAAGGATTATGAAGATGACGATGAGGTCAACAAACAACTGGAAAAAATGTAAACAAATTGATTTATAAACATACTGCATTATAAATAACATGTAAGAAATCCAGTGCTTGGAAGTATTTATCTAAACTGTACATATGTCAACTATACAATAAAAGAACTTTTACATCTTAGATGTATTGATATCAAAGTTCACAAACTTATTTATACCTGTATCTCAGTCTGTGGCCATGTACATGTTTGAATTTCTGACAATTCCAAAAAAAGATATTAAGTGAAAAAAAATGCAATATTGAGAATTACTCTTCAAAGTAATTGAAGTTCTTGTATGCAAACCTTCATTTTTATGAATTTCTGAAACTAAGAAATTATGAGAATTCAAGTGAAATTGTTTTATATAAGTGAATATTATTGTGTGATGGTTTATTTTCAAAAAGGGGATACAATATAGGAGTTCGTCTCATTGAGGATTTCCTGGCAAGGTCAAACACAGGGCGATGTAATGACTTTAGGGAGACTGCAGACGTCATAGCTAAGGTAGGTAAATCTTAAAGCAGGGCGATGCCTGACAGCTGAGGTAGGTAACTCTTATAACAGGGTTTAATGTATGATAGCTAAGATAGGTAATTTTATAACAGAGTTTAATGTATGATAGCTAAGATAGGTAATTTTATAACAGAGTTTAATGTATGATAGCTAAGATAGGTAATTTTATAACAGAGTTTAATGTATGATAGCTAAGATAGGTAATTTTATAACAGAGTTTAATGTATGATAGCTAAGATAGGTAATTTTATAACAGAGTTTAATGTATGATAGCTAAGATAGGTAATTTTATAACAGGGCGATGCCTGACAGCTGAGATAGGTAACTCTTATAACAGGGTTTAATGTATGATAGCTAAGATAGGTAATTTTATAACAGGGTGATGTATGACAGCTAAGGTAGGTAACTCTTATAATAAGGTGATATCACAAATATTCGTTATTTCACACCACAGACTTGAAAATGAGAACAATTCTGAGACTCAGGATCATCAGTGGTATCTCATAAAATGCTCTCTTTGTACTTTTCTTAGTTTTTATTTATTTAACAATAAGCCCATGCCTTGTAATAAACCAACTGATATACATTTGCTGTTCCATAAATATACAAACCCATTCTATTTTAATGTGAAATTATGTGTAGGCCTTAAGCTTATGACAGGATAAACATGATAGATGTTTGTTGTAGGTGGGGTTCAAGATGTACCTAGGAATCACCCCAGTGGTGAGCAACTGGAGTCCAGCAGGGGACGAGTTTTCCCTTCTCATAGAAAATAATCCCCTGACAGACTTTGTGGAGTTACCCCCAGGTCATTCCAGTCTGTGTTTCTCAAATCTTTTGTGTGGAGTACTGAAAGCTGCCTTAGAGATGGTAAGTTCCCTTCTTAGCTCATTTTAGTGCTTTTGTTGTGTTGTCCTTCATTAATTTTGATGGAGTTTTTAAGTACAATTTTGTCTATTTACACCCAAGCATTTCTGTCCAACATTTGTAATGGTAAAGGTTTTGTTGTGAATCAGTGATGTTGTGGCCCTATTTTACTGCCGAATGAAAGGCTATCTCTCCTAGTCAAAATGGGTGTTATATTCCAAAAATAAACCTAAACCCTAGAAAAGTTTCTGAACTTTTCAAAAAAATTCCATTTTATGAAAGCACAGGCTGCTGTAAAATCAAGGGAGAAAAAACAGTATGAGTGTTGAACTGCTTTGATATATCATGTATAATATTAGGTGTTAGGTTGTTAATCTACTGAAATATAGAGAGATGGTCAAATATATAGTGGTAGAGATGAAGCTAACTTCCTGTTTTTTCTGAAGATGTTTTAAGCTGAGGAAATGACTGTGGTTGGTAAACAAAGACTCTCTTATAAATTTAAAAACCTACTGAGCATGGCACATAACAGTAACTGCATGATTGTCATCCATATTTTACAATAAAGCTAAGATTACCTTTGTGGAGAGGATTTTTCCCTTTGACTGGTTTCACCACTTTTTAGCCCACCATCATCACAAGCTGTACACATCCTCTCATAGGAAAAGATCTTAACCCTAACGTTGAAATCCACACTGATGAAAGAGAAATGTTGACTTCCCAACTACCTTCCAGATCAAAGGACATCATCAATGATCTTTTGGTGATACCACATATGCTATCAAAGCAGGAGTCTTCTTTTACTCCACATTTCTCCCCTCTGGATGATGAAATTGTAAAGCCCAGACTGGTTGCTTAAGAACACAGTTTCGAAAATTTATTTTTTATTTTTCATCCTGTATTGGCACCACGAGGATGCTCTACTGTTGTTCTGGGTAAAAAATGAAGATGGACATTTCATGGAAATGGTGTTCAACTCTCTTTAACATGTCAATTTCCAGTTTATTGAAAACATTTCATTTTATAGTAAAAGCAACAGAAATAACCATTGTTCCTTTGACATGAAGATCTTACAAGAGAGTATATTCTGGAGCACAACACTGTGTTCTCGGAAGCATTTCTTGGCCAGCAGGTGACTGTCATACTTGTCAGTACATATATCTTTATTCTAAAGAGTTCTGGTCACAAACTCTAGAGAAACTCCTACTGTGGCCAGGTCACTGAGCAAAGCCCTGCTGATAGTTACAATCCAGACACAGTAGGACCTTTTCCAGGAAGCAATAATGATACATCATGAATAGTCTCTCCTGTCTGGAGAAAGATGACAATGTCATTGTTGATCGAGGGTTTAGGGATGATATGCCAGATTTGGAATAATGTGGTTTGACAACAAATTTACTGTCTTATCTAAAACCTAAGCAGACTCAACATGACAACCTACAAGCTAGCCTAGATAGATCCATAACTAAATCTAGATGGATAGTGAAGACATATCACCGACGATTCAAGCAATGGCTGTTTTTCAAAACACAATTTGCCTCCAACTATTTCATTGATGTCATGGAGGCACTCATTAGCATATTAACAGCCTGTCTCAATGGAATTCGAGGACCCATATATGTTAAAACACAAGAGCAAGATGCAAAGGATAGCTGCCAAAATGAAAGTGTACCTTAGTGTTCACAACTACTAAGCTCAGCTTGTGAAAATTGAGTCAGATATTACCAGAAGGGCCAAGTCAGTATTTGTCAAACTAGATGCTACTGCAGATAGTTGTGGAATACCTTCAGACAATATCTTGTTGCACATACGAGATCTAGATCTAGCTGCACTCACAAGACATTGTATGATGTCAGATCCACTCGGGGCATAAGAGCAGAGTAATGTACAATGTGTGAATCCAGCATGACAGCTTTGACACTGTTAATTCCATAAAGGATTATCATTGTCCTACTGAACCACGGAGGTATGTTCCCAGGGTGCCAGTATCCAGTACTATTTAGGATACTACATAGTAAATCTTTGCATCAAAATGTCATTAGGTTTAAGACAAACCTCAAGTAATGTAGATTTCACTACCAACCGTCATCTTCAAAGCATTAGGTATGGTCAACTTGGACAATTAGAACTCTATTACTGTATGATGTAGACCAGCACTGACATGGCCAATCAGATTTCAGGACAAAGAAGCCATATTGGAGTCCAGATAAGGTGGTTTACTATGTAAATGAACTTAAATCTATCATTTAGCATTCTTGTTAGAATATCGATTCAGCAGTTGTAAGAATGTTTAATTTTTGTGGTTATCAGGGAACATGACGGCCATTTTGAAAGTTGAAATTTCGTTTTAGTGTGTTATTGGTGTAGGTGACAGTCTCTTTGTACTATTAAAACCAAGTGTAAATATTTTATTTCAGTTCACTTTAAAATACTTCAGTCCGAAGGAGATTTTCCCCTTTGCTCATTTTTCCTTAAAAAATACATAGCCATATTGTCGATCAATTTTAATTACTTTGTACAAAACTCCTTATTATTATTTTTGGGCAATTTATTTTATACTGTTTATGCTTTTTAGCACATAATTATGAATGGACTCCAGTAGGAAGTTATGTATTTTTGACCTTCAGAAAATTTTGCCTTATGTAGAAAGAGTATGTTCTTTCTCAAAATCCATCACATTTTTATCTCCTGTTTCCATTGTACTTAAAACTGTGACTTCTTGCTTTATATATATGATATGTGATATGTTATTATCAGAATGTCTACGTTTAGTTTTCTTTAAAAGATGAAGAATTGATATTGTAGCGTTTCCACTAAAAACCATCCTTTTTTTCATTTTTGGCACAAAATGGGCAATATATTCTTGGGTATGTACATGTTTGGACTTAAATGCCTATTTGTATACTGTGGATTCATTTATTTTCGTTGGGTTCAATTTTCGTTGTTTCTACAAATTAGACAGTTTCGTGGACTCATAAATTCGTGGATTTTTGATTCTGTGGGAAAAAAATAAAAACGTTAGAATTTTCTCTTTTTGCTTCCAGTCGAATTTTTTTCTGTTTGTATTAAGGCTATGTTCACAGGAATTAACACTAATGACAAGAATAAAAGAACGTTTTTTTTTCAAGATGGCGTCCTGTGTTTTTATAACGCTGTTTACAACAGTCTCGCATTAATATCAAACCACAAATCAGTATATATCCTGGCGTGTAATCAATCGGTAATTATCAGAAACAATTGTTTTCAGTGGATAAACATTATGTGCTGATCAGTCGGTGTACCGCAGTCATATGAAAACACCACGCGTATCGATGGGACCATGTATGTAAACAGGTGTGTAAACAAGATCTGCATTATTAATAATTATTGTGAACCTGTAGTCGGATAGAAACACGGATCCAATCTTCAATCGACAGGATGGTCCGATCAAGCCTAGTGTCCACAGTGTCGCTAACGACTGCGATCCCATCATACTTAGCATCACAATGGGTACTTACCCTTTGTTATGTTTAATAATATATAATTATATATCGTTGACACCAATTTAGCGTATCCATGTCGAGCCTCAGACTACCCGACTCCCGACTAATTACGGGGCTTCTGTCATTACCGGTGGACGTTTCCTGTGTCGGCAAAGATTACTTGGTCAAATTTAAAAATTACTTTAGTAAGTAGTTCATATTTCGTTGTGTTTTTAAATTCGTGGATTTGCTCATCCACGAAAACAACGAAAATTGGACCCCCACGAAATAAAATGAATCCACAGTAAGTAGGACAACAGAGGCTACCAATAGCAGACAAGCCATTTTAAAACCCAACCTTTCTAAGGAAAAGTAAGGATGAACAATCTTTAACATTTACTTCAAGATATAATTTGATGAGGAGCTATGAAATTTTTTCCTTGAGATGATTAACCTCAGTCACTTTGAATTAGTTGTTCTACTTTTTCAAAGTTTTGTTTTCGATTGGCAGTATTCATTTATTCTTGTATTTTAGTAAATCAGTTATAGCACGTTTGTCGTCCTTACCATGCTATCATTGTATATCATTTCTGGATTCATTTTTGTTTGTATTCAAAACCCTAACCTGACATTTAAAAGTAAGAAATAAACTTAAAGCTAAAAGATCACCTAGACCATCGTTGGGTATTTATAGGAGCAGATACTTAAATAACATTAAGGTCTCTCATATTGATATTACCTTTGTATTTGTATAAATGTTCATAATTTTTATAAAATTCACTGTCATCTGTCCAAAACAACTGTTAACCTTGCTCTATGCTGACAAAGTGATTTATTAACCTGAAAAAGATGTTCACATATTTATACAATAATGAAGGCTCAGCAGAAAGATCTAAAGACAAGAAAAGATTTGAAACTAAGTGTGTAAACCCATTGTCATCTCTGTAGCAGAAGGGAGATAACTCTTGACAACCTTGTAGCCTTTTGGATCACTGCTATAAGAATCAGGTTTTACCATTGAAATTATTCTCAGAATTAATTGTTGTCTAATGATGGTCTTTTCAAATTGGTTTTTCATTCATGGTTTGTCAGTCTGTCCATAATCATTTTTTGACCACTGTCATTATGTGGTTGGTGTATAAAATTGCTTTTTTTCTTTCGGTCACAAATCGTTAAGTACATCCATTCCTTTTGTTTTCTTGTTTTTTCATAACTACTGTAGAGATCTTCTTGAAATTCTGTCAATATATATATCCAGATTACATTAACGCATGACATGAAGGATACATAACTTTGTGACATCATAATTACCATAGGACTACTGTGGTTGATCCTGTTTTATAATCAGTGACAGTGTATTTTGTCAACAAATTTGCTTATATTCAATCACATATAAAAATAGTTAATGTTATCACACATAAATATCTTTTTAACACACGAGCTACTCTGGACAAAATTGAAATTAATACTTAATGTAGTGGTCTAGCAATTTAACTGAAAAGCAGACATAACAAAAATATTTTGTATAAAATCTGTAAGTGT